ATGATCATCGGACCGTATTTTTTCGAAGACAATGATGGAGCCACGATAACTGTCAATGGTAAGCGTTAGCGAGCAATGATAACCAAATTTCTGATGCCTATTTTTCGTGAAAATTTATTTATTGCGAACATTGTTCCGTAGGGGGTTAATATCGAAAAGTGGTGATTTTGACTGGCCACCAACATTACCAGATTTGACGGCACAGACTTTTATTTATGGGGTTCTCCGAAATCCCGTAAGCCCGTTCGGACTTTTATACTGCGTGCAATAACTACACAACTTTTGGGAAAGTTTTAGCATGATAGCTTAATAACTGAGAGACTAGTTTACATAGAAACGGACGACGGACAGACGTACGCGCCTAGTTCGATTCAGATCGTAATGCTGATCAAGAATATATACTTTTAAGGCTCTGAAATATCTAATTTACTGATTTGCAAATTTTTTGACTGAAATTATAATACCTTCTGCAATGGTATAATAATTAAAGTTGAAGTATATCCAGAGACGTGTCTATAGCTCGACATTAGCCTTTGTATGTATCCCCACACACAAATACGAACAAACTCACAACTCAATTTTCCCTTGAGGCACTCCTAAAACCAAAGAGTTCAAGCCAATCCAATTCCAAATGAAAAATTACAGTGAAACCCAAAACCTAGCCTCCTGACTAAAATTTTTAAACTTATCCGACGTTCTCACACTTAAGAGAGCCGTTATAAAAAACACTCAGCTGAAATTGAAGTTACTTATCAAAAAAAAAAAAAAATATACCCAAACGACTAGGTTAGCCTGATCAGCGACAAAATCAGAGAAAAATCAAGACTTTAAGTGCGATCCGCTAAAGAATCTACGGGTTGTACACAAACACAAAATAGAAATCCAATTCGGTCAATTAGGTCTTGATAATTTTTGAAGTAAATACTTAGAGCAGACAGCCAGCACCCAGTCAGATGCTCATAGGTGGGCCACTGCACCTGCAGCGCTACTTTGCGCATTTCACACAAAGCTACTCTTTACCCATTCTTATCTTGTTTATATCGCGTTATCAATTCAGACAAACTATTTTCTAGTTGTCTTTCCCATAAACATTTTGGTGACTCCGACGTCATATTCGCTTTAATTGGAACCTACAACTTAACTCGTATCCAAACACAAAACATACATATTGCTAAGCGGACCAAAGATTTTGCGGAGAATCTTTCTCTCGAACACTCCAAGAGCGGCTGCATCGGATTGCACCACTGTCCAGCACTCCGCACCATATAAGAGTACTGGAAGAATGAGCGTCTTGTAGAGTGTTATTTTTGCCTGTCGAGAGAGAGCTCTACTGTTGAAATGCCTACTGAGCCCAAAGTAACACCTGTTGGCAAGTGTGACTCTCCGCTCAATCTCTAGGCTGACATCGTTTGTGCTAGTTATAGCAGTGCCAAGGTAGATGAATTCCTTGACGGACTCAAAGCTATAGCTGTCTGCAGTCAGCTGAGAATCAAGACGCCGCGATTCTCTGCTTGAGCACACCATAAACTTTGTCTTGTCCATGTTCACTGCTAGTCCTACTTTAGCCGACTCTTTTTCAATAGCCCCAAAGGCTGCTGTAACATCACGCTTGGTTCGGCCAATGATATCAATATCATCAGCGTAACCAAGGAGTTGGACACACCTGTTTGACAGAATCGTGCCCGTCCGATGCACACCAGCCTTCCTTACAATACTCTCCATTAGAATATTGAAGAGCATGCAAGATAGCGAGTCACCTTGTCTGAGACCACACTTGGTACTAAAGGTTTCGGATTGGTCGTTTCCTACCTTGACAGAGCTGATGGTGTTGCTCAATGTCATCCTGCAAAGTCGTATCAGCTTTGCTGGTATACCAAGCTCAGACATGGCGGCATATAGGCGATCTCGCCGGGGACTATCGAATGCAGCCTTTTAATCGATGAATAGATGATGGGTGTCGATCTGGTTCTCATAGGACTTCTCAAGGATTTGGCGCAAGGTGAAAATCTGGTCAATAGTGGATTTGCCAGGCCTGAACCCGCACTGATAAGGTCCAATCAGTGCTTCGGCATGGGGTTTCAGGTTTTCACACAGTACGCTCGAAAGAACCTTGTATGCGACTGGAAGAAGACTTATGCCACGGTAATTGGTGCGTAATGTGGCATCACCCTTCTTCAGGACAGGACAGATCATGCCGAGGTTCCAATCTTCGGGCATGCTCTCCGTACGCCATATCTTGCTGATTAGTTGGTGCATGCTCCCTACCAACATATCACCAGCTGCCTTAAACAATTCAGCCGGCAGGCCATCAGCACCTGCAGATTTATTGTTTTTGAGTCGATGGATTGCATCCTTGACTTCGGCATGGCTTGGGGTCGGTACATCTATATCAGTACCATAGATTGCGGTTTGTGGATCATAATCTTCATAGCCCGTGCCAGAGCCACCTAACAGGCTTGAGAAGTGATCCCTCCATAACTTCAGCACAATCTCTGCATCTGTGACTAGGTTTCTGTCATTGTCCTTGCATGCAACTCCTCCAGTCTTACAACCTTGGGTCAGACGCTTAACCCTCTGATAGAAGTTACGAGCTTCATTTCGGCATCTGCTGCTCTCAATGCTTTCACACTCTCGCTTTTCCTGTTCTCTTTTATTGCGTCTGAAAAGGCGTTTCTCATCCCTTTTTCTTAACCTGTAGACCTCAACAACAGCCCGTGTAGCCCCAGCTTGCAGTGTTCTTCGATAGGCGGCGTCTTTTGCAGCTGTTGCGCCCCGGCACTCCTGGTCATACCATGGATTCCTTCTTGGGGGGCGCTGGAATCCAATGACTTCTTCTGCGGAAGTTCGCAGGGAGTGGGATATGAGCGCCCACTGATCGCTGATGTCTTCAGGTGTTGGAGTTGTTCGGCTCAATAGGCCAGAGACTTGAGTGGAGAATGCATCCCTTGTCTGTTGTGATTGCAGCTTTCCGATGTTCAGCCTTCTCAGCAGTCCTCGACGTGCAACCTTCGCAACACATAACCGTGTGCGAATCTTAGCTGCAACAAGATAATGATCGGAGTCGATCTTGGGACCCCGACAGGATCGCACGTCGAGTACACTAGATGCATGCCTTGCATCGATCACAACATGATCGATCTGATTTCTGGTCAGTCGATCGGGAGAGAGCCACGTCGCATTATGTATGTCCAAATGACGGAACCCAGTACTACGAACTACCATATTATGCGCTGCAGCAAAGCCTATTAATCTGAGACCATTGCTCGAGGTGGTCTCATGTAGACTAAATCGCCCGACGGTGGCACCAAAGATGTCTTCTCGCCCAACCTTGGCATTAAAGTCCCCAAGGAGGATTTTAATGTTATGAGAAGGGCAGCGGCCGTAAGCTCGGTCGAGCTCCGCATAGAAAGTATCCTTGGTTATATCGTCTTTTTCTTCGGTTGGAGCGTGCGCGCATATCAGGCTGATGTTGAAGAATTTGGCAGTAATTCGGATCGTTGCAAGTCTCTCATTTATTGGCAGAAAGTGAGAGACTCGGCGCCGCAGTCTGGCGCCAACAACGAAGCCACAGCCAAATTCATGCCTTTCTGGATGGCAGCTGTAGTAAATGTCGCAGTCCTTCTTCTTAATGCAACCTTGCCCTATCCATCGCATTTCCTGAATAGCAGCGATATCGGCCCTACATTTTTTGAGGGTATCTGCTAGTTGTTGAGCAGCACTTGGTCTGTACAGTGTTCGTACATTCCACGTGCATACTCTCAAATCATTGTCCTTTTTCGTTTGCCATGGTCGTCAACGTTAAATCGGTCCCGTTCCGAGGCTTCTTCTGCTTCTTTCATTGAATTTTGGTTTTTCCATGGGTGGATTTCAAATCCTACGCCAAAACCTAGTTTGAAGAGCTAGGACTCTCGTCGCGCGCTTTAGTTTGCTACTCAACGGATGTTGAATAGCAATCCAGGGAGAACCACGTGGAGGTAGTGCGTCGGCTTGAGGAGATCAGTCATAAGGATCATACTGGCATTCACCAAGTTGAATGCAGTCAGACACTTTGCCTTATATGCTCTCCCCCATCCCCCCAAAACAAAAATAATACTAACTGCAAAAAGAATTTTTCAAAAATAATTTTTAACATTAAGTTATATTTTTGTCTTTTCCATACAAATTTTTTCCGACATTGTCACCAAAATAAAAGAAAAAATATTTTTGAAAAATTCTTTATGCAGTTACTATTATTTTTGTTTAAAAAAACTTTTTGCATCAAAAAATTTTAGTTTTCAAGACGAGGAAAAAGTTTAAAAAGTAGATTTTTTTTTAAACTGCCCTTTTCAATAAATATCGAATGAGTTAAGAAGAGTATGGTATCATTCAAATGGCATTTAAATTACCTTTCCATTGATACCAAAAGTTAAAAGAAGCAAGTTCAAGTTTCGAGTATATTTCACTTTTATTTTGTCAAAATATATTTGGTTTTAACAATTTTTTTTTCGATTTCTTTTTATTTTTTTTTTTTTTTCTAATAGAGCAATTTTTTTTTTTTTTTTTTTTTCTGTGTACTTACAATCGTGGCATATTTATTTTTAAAAATTATGTTAAATTGTTTTATAGTTTAATAGATATTCTTAATGGTGATATTGCTGTATTACAATTTTAAGTTGCAGCAACTTGGCATTAGTGTTTAACTTATAACTAAATATTGGAATTAATTGCTAACTAGTGAAAAAGCGCCATGGTATAAAATGTAGATAAGGTTGAATAGATAAGAGTATCAATCAAACAAGTTAATGAAATGTATGCACAGATATTGAAATTGTTATGTATATACAAGTAGTAAATTATGAATTCAAAATGTAACAACAGACCGACACTCGAGTTCTCACTCAGACAAACTAAAATTACAATCAAAACATCTACACTTTTTCTTAACAGCTAGACAACATACACATTACGCTAATTCAACAACGCGAACGCATACAACGAACGATTTAAGCTACGATAACAGATTTATGTTTGGTACAATTTCATTCTTTTTGCTTTTGTCGCTGATAATTACATATTATATAATATACAATAATTCCTTTACAAAAAGTCAGTCCATAATTTTGGTTACCAGCTTGGCAATTTCAATCCAACTTCATACTTAGATCTTCATGAAAAATCTTTCTCACAATATGCCATTCGTATAATACTGATAACCATCGTACAGTTTAGTTGAAAGACTCTTCAACGAGTCTTGTACAAGCTGCTCAACTTTTCGTTCCATTTCTTGCTCGGTCAAATTCATATGAAAGCGTTTGCGGAGATTCTGTACGGTTCCGGAGCATCCATTTTTAAAGCACGGCAAATGAGCATTGCTGCGCATAATTTCTACAAAGTTTATAATACGATCCATATGCTTTCGGGCAGACATCATGCCAACTAACAGGAGCCTATTAAATTCACGCCAATGCTCCGAGCTGGTGCCCCCATGACTTCAACGAATTCCGGTGTAAGCTTAAAAGGTGATTGTTCGAATCCCAAGTTTTTTGGAGAAATACTCAGAATGAATCCAAAGTCAATGTGTATGATGTGCCCATCCGAGTGGAAAAGTATGTTTCCGTTATGCCTGTCCTTGACTTGCAACAGATACGAGATTAGACAGTAAGCTGCACAGCTTTGGACAAAATTCTTCTGTGCCCGGCGGAAAGTCTCTCCAGTGGGTGTGCCGTACTCATCGATAAAATAATCTCTTAGTGATTTGTTGGAGTTCTTCTTAATTTGGTGCAGAGAGACAGTGTTGAGGATAGGCTCAATAAGACCACTATCATTCGACAGGCAAACTATCTTGTACGGGCGCACCCAAAGATCCACATGTTCTTCGTGCCATATTATTTTAAACATCTGTAACAATTGAGTAGCCATAAGTTCCTGGCGTAAATCGTCGCCGCACTTGACAATGGCGGAAAGCAGCCTCCAATTTGATAAATGGCCGTAGGGCGAAGACTCACGAATGAGCTTTTCCTTTTCGTGCCATGGTTCCTTTAGGGCTGCTGCCGAGGGATCTTCTGGGTCATTGCTAAAGGATTTTGTGTTTTCGCAGCTTAAGTTGCTGCAATGTCGCAGGCGCACGTCGCCAATGTTAAAGACAATGGGTGGACCTTGGTCTCGTGAATCGCAAGAGTCCAACGACATCTGTGAAATAGTATCCCGCTCGCTCACTTTGCTCATGTTAAGGTACTGCGCTGTAATTTCGTCGTCTTCCTGCGACCAAACATCATCCTCCTGGAGCTGAAGCCCACCCAATGACAATGTGTTGCCGTAGCAGTTCACTGAACCAGCATCGCCGCAGCCGCCATCCAGTTCTGCCGTCTTTTTCCTTCGGCAGCTTGAGCCCTGCTGACTACTGCTACAGCTGGAAGTGCGGCTGCAGCTCAGGTGCTGGTGCGAGTTCAGACAGGACCCCTCTAGATGCTCTTCGCTTTTGGTGTGCCGCAGCGAAGGCATCATCTTTGGTATCAGGGGAGAAGTGTAAATGTCGGGAACCTCGACCACTTCCACGTAGATAATGTATGGAGTCTTGTCCTTCGAGTTTAAAACAGCAGTCTTTTCCTCTGTTATGCGAACGACATGGTGCGAAATATCCGAGTAGAGCGGAAGCCAGACTCTGGCGGGCAAGTTCTTGTTGATCAAGTTAAGGAACATTCGCAGCGCTGAAGTCTTTTCCGCTTTAGAAGACAGCGAAGTAAGATTTTTACCTACGTTTATTAGCGCCTTCATAAACTCCTTCTGGGGCGCCGTCTTTGGAGCACCACAACTGCAAAGTGTCCTCTGCCCGAGAAGGCCGTTCACTTGGCCCCGTACCGACTCGAATATGTCGAGAACACTGTGAAAAATGTTGAGTCAATTAGAGTCAAACTAACGGAGTTACAGCGTTTTAAACGACCGAATTTGGCCTATTTTAACGTATAAAAATACTTTCAATCGATTTTCCCGAAAACGTTATTTTGACAGTCGATGAACATCAGAACTCAAAATCTACTTAACTGATCCTTTTCAATTTTTTAACACAAATTCTTTTTTTTTTTTTTTTTTTTTTTAATTTTTTTCTATTTTTAAAAAATAAATTAGCAAAGTTTTTTTAAGCTAAAATTGAATTTTCCACTTTCAAGTGCTACCAAAAATAGACAAAAAAAATTTTAAAAACTCTTCCTGATTACCACGGGAAATTCATTATCTTTACAACAAATATCACCTTTTTTGTAAGATGATCCGTTAACACCCTATGATGTTCACCGCAAGACAACTTTTTCTTAAGGCGCTTCGGAAGATTAACCGCCACAGGCTTATTTCTAAATATTTTTGTTATGTATGACCGAAGTGATCCCATTGAGTGCTTGGTACAGACTGATTTTATTTAGAGAGTAGCGAGAGAAACGTGTGTGTGTATATGATATATGTGTGTGCTTATAGAATGAAGGATTACAAAAAGTTTTGGATGTTTGTGTAGCGAGTATACATTATACATAACACATCTCCTCCTTTAATTAAGAATTATAAATGTTTTTAGGTGGTCTGAAGTCCTTTGGCTTAAAACGATCGACTTCCTGGCGAACACGGCTGCTTTGGCGTACTAGTATGCCGGAACTACGTTGTGTAGATTGTATTTGTCTCGGCTGCTGGGTAGGGGCTGCTGCGCGTTCGCTGAACAACTGGCGGAGTTGGCGGTTGTTCTTGTCGCTGTATTTCTTGGTTTAAGGATGGCTTTGGCAGTTCAGGAATCCACCAAAACTCTGGAGGTTTCTCGATGGAGTTGTTTGTTGACAACTTCGGTTTCAGCTGGTTGAAATGGCGCTTGATATAACCATTTGAGGTCCAAACAATGAAAAGCATTTTGACACATGGAAGGTCGATTATGCCTTCAATCCACTTTTCTCCCCTTGAATAGTTTCGAGCGTATACCATTTGATTAGGGACGTACTTGGTGATTGTCTGTTTAGCTTCGACAGGCTTCTCGAAAAGTTGACTAAGCACGGTGCGGACTGGTCTACCGTGGATTAACTCGGCTGGAGTTTTACCTTGGGCATTTGGAGTGAACCTGTAAGAAGAAAGATATTTAGTTACAGCTACCCTGAGTGGTATACCGTCTTGAAGGTTCTTCTTGACTGCAAATTTGAACGTCTGCACAAAACGTTCTGCTAATCCGTTAGATGCTGGGTAGAATGGTGCTGTGGTAATCTGCTTTATACCGTGCAGTCTGCAGAATTCTTCGAAGGCGTCAGCTGTAAGCTGGAAACTGTGAATAGGCGTCTACACATATGAGCCACATAGCGTCAAAGATTGGACCGGCGAAGTCGATATGAATTCGCTCCCATGCTGTTGTTGCTGCTGGCCAACTTTGGTACTCTCTTGGTGGTGCAGGATTTTTGCACTTGCATATGCTGCATGACTGGGCCAGGCTTTTGATGTCTTCGTCAATGGTAGGCCACCAAGCATGTTGTCTTGCCAACTGCTTCATTCGAACAATGCCCCAATGTCCTTCATGTAAGAGTTTTAGGATATGGGCACGTAGACTGGCTGGAATTACTACACGATTTGCGTCTGTGTGTAGGCAAAGCAATTTTTTGTTGATTGTAAGAGCCAACTTCCGGTTAAAGTAAGTCAATAGGGCTTCGTTGCCTGGCTGAAGTTTTTTCTGGCTATCCTACAGATACGTACTGCAGGACTTGTTTGAGGAGTTCGTCTTTGTCCATGTGGTTGCAAATGAGCTCTGAATTTATCGGTGTTGACACTTCGACTACAGCTTGCCAAGCTTCCTCTTCTTTGTCTAAATCTGAATCTGTACCCACTGAAAGGTGTGAAAGAGCATCCGCATTACCATGAGCAGATGTGGATCGATACTGGATACCGAAGTTGTAGGCCAAGAGATTAATGGCCCAACGCTGTAGCCTGTTTGACGTCATCAACGGAAGATGCTTGCCTGGATTAAAAATGGTAACAAGCGGCTTGTGGTCTGTGATCAGGATAAATTTCCTTCCGTAAAGGTATTGGTGGAAACGTTTTACTCCAAATATTATGGAAAGTCCTTCCTTTTCAATTTGGCTGTATTTAACCTGATGCTTGTCGAGCGTTTTAGATGCGAAAACAATGGGTCTCTCTCCGCCATCTGGCTGAAGATGCAAAAGGACTACCCTGATGCCAAAGGATGAGGCATCTGTAGCGAGCACTAGCGGTAAATTTTCGTCAAAGTGAGCTAGCTGCGTTGCGTTAATAATGTGGGACTTAAGAGCTGTAAAAGCCTTTTGCTGTTGTGGACCAAAAAAGAAGGCTACGTCTTTTCTGCGAAGCTGGTTCAATGGAGCAGCCAACTGCGAATAGTTCGGAATAAAATTACAATAATAATTAACTTTACCCATGAATGCTTCCAATTGTTGTAAGTTGGAAGGCGGTCTCAACAGTTTTACAGCCTTCAAGCCTGAGCTGTCTGGAAGAATTCCGTTTGCGCTTATTCTTCACCCTAAATATTCAATTTTGTCCTTGAAAAAGAAGCATGTTTGCCTTTTGCATCTGATGCCGTTCGCTTAAAGAGTGCTGAGAACTTGGTCGGACAATTATATAATATAGCTGCCATAGGAAAGATCGAAAAATCTATCTATAATTAACGGAAATTAACGGAAAATAATTAATAACATAGTTGTTTTTCATCAGGAAAGGTAAATTTTTATACCCTTGCAGAGCAAAGGGTATTAAAATTTCAGTCAGAAGTTTGCAACGCAGTGAAGGAGACACCTCAGACCCTATAAAGTATATTTATTCTTGATCAGCATCACGATCTGAATCGAAATCCGTCTGTACGTCTGTCCGTCTGTCCGTCTGTCTGTTTCTATGTAAACTAGTGTCTCAGTTTTGAAGCTATCGTGCTGAAACTTTCCCAAAAGTTGTGTAGTTAATGCCCGCAGTATATAAGTCGGAACGAGCCGGATCGGCCGACTATATCGGATAGCTCCCATACGAGAGATTAAAAAAAAAAAATTCTCAGGCCGTTGTTTTTGATCAGATCGACTTGATTTCTTCCAGATGGCGTTTTCGAACTGTTATTGAATTTCGGATTAAATTTGATCGAAATCGGATAACTCTATCATATAGCTGCCATAGGGGAGATCAAAAAAATATACAGTAGAATCCTGTTATAACGACTCCGCTTATAGTGTCCGTCCGGGTTGTGCGGCGAAAACTCGATGGTTTGGTTGGTCCCCATACTAACTTATATGAAAGGGCCTCCGCTTAGAGCATTTCCGCTTTAAGCGACAAACCGCTTATACGAACGAAATTTTTCGAGAAAATTAAAAAATTTAAACGGATATTACGTCGTGCAGGAAAAAAATACATTTCAATAGTGCCAAATGTAAGCATCAAAACACGCTGTGAGAAATGTATGTATTTATTAGTGATCGGCAACCTTGCTTGTGTGCGTAGCAGCGACACAATGGATTAGAGGTGGAGAACTATCGATGGCACTATCGGGACTATCGATGGTTTTCCAATATCGATAGCTGCGCGCACTCTCGATAGTGGTCAATCGCTATCGTCGATTGTTGTCGATATTTTGGTTCTCATGTCTACGTTAAAAGTGTAAAGGAAAGGAAATTGCGCGAATTTGTTACAGAGTTTTATAAATTGTTATTAAAAACATAATGGATCGTTTTCTTCAAATAGGTAAGATATTGTTATTTTGTTGTTATATTGTAATTTTGTATTATAAAGTTAAAAGCCAAATTTTGTGTGACAATAACAAAAGTGCTACGTGAGATGCCATTACTGCTATTACGGTTTGTTGTGAAATATATACGCATATATACATACACGCGTTTCTTTTTCACAAAGATAAATACATAATAATAAAAGTATACATTTAATTAAAGGAAAACGCCGAACATAAATAAATTTATAAAAAGCAGTTAAGGTAAACCTAAAAAAACAAAATCATATTATTCGAATAATAATTATTTATTCTTTTCAGATAAAGATTGGAAAACCAATGTCATACTTTATAAATAAATACTTTATATATAAATAAATATCATTAGAAACACTAATTAAATTATTTTTATTGAGTGTACTCTGCACGATCGACAACTATCGACGATAGATTTTCTTTGCTATCGCCGATAGTCGATAGTTTATGAAAACTATTAAGCGCTATCGATGGCGCAGACTATCGATAGTTCTCCACCTCTACAATGGATCTTACACTGTCACTACTCTTTGTTAGTTTTAGCTTTCGCCTTAAGGGGCACAACTAGTGTGACATTTCAAAAAAATCTTTTTTTTTTCTTTCATATTTCGGTAGATTACACCTTTAAAAATAACATATTAATGTTTCAAATCGATATCTTAAAAAGTTTTTGAGTTATAACAATTTTAAGAGCAGCCGCTCGTATAGCAGTGAATACGATCATTTTATCTTTAAGGGGTTATCCTACCCCTGACCTTTTAAAAAATTCAGTTTTTTCAAAATTTTTTATATAATAGTAAAAAGTTTAAGGAATGTTGTCCGAAAATTTCAAGTCGATCGGAGGAAAACTGTAGAAATGGGGGAAATTTAAAGCGCCGTTTTTCCAGAATGTTTCAAAGGGTTTGAAACTTTGAACGCGTTTTTCTCGAATCGACTTTTTCAAAGTCGGTAGTCAAATTTTCTCGAAAACTATTGCACCGATCGACTTCTCCTTTTGCACACTTCTTTTAGACATGTTTTTCTCGTATTTGAACGAAGGACTTTTTTTTGGTCAAATAGAACTTATTTTATAGGACGAAATATGGTCAAAATGTATGCAAAAAACGTAATTTTTTATAAAAAAACGTTGTAAAAAATTCAATTTTTAATTAAAAAAAAAATCCTTCGTTCAAACACGAGTCAGACACATACACTTAAAGAAAAATTTTGGATTTTTGATTTCAGATGAACATTGGCGGAGAAAATTTGACTACCGCCAGGGCACTATTTTTGATGGGGTCAACTTTCAGGCATTCTCACTCGCTCATTTTTTAATATTTTCTTTTCAAAATTTTACAGATTATAGTTGAAGCATGATATATTCATATTCAATAAACAAAAATTCTAAGAATATCCCAGGAGCTTTGAAAAAAATTCACGAAAATAGGCCTTTTTTTGGGCCTCCAGGGTAGGATAACCCCTTAAACGCGTTTTTCTCGAAAAAGCATTTTCCAAATTTGCTGCAGTGATTACTCAAAAACTAATGATCCCATCACTATCAAATTTTTTTAGATGTTCTATATATAGTCCTCCCTACAATGACCTATCGGTTTTTTGATCCGATCAAAAATCGAATTTTGGCAGGCCAAAAACGACCAAAATTTTGGGTAAAATTCGATTTTTTTTTTTTTAAACGCCGCCATTTCGTCAATTTTTGATGTTTATGAACAATATCATCTTGTTTAACGAAAATTTTTCATTTTTTGATTTCATCCACGGAGAAGGCCGGAATCACTGCAGCAGTTGGGGCACTTTTTTTTTTTAGCGCCGTTGGAGATCGGCTCTAGCTTAAAAAATATTTAATTTTTTTCTTTAAAAATTTTACTGTATATTCTTCAAACATGTATAAATATATTTTGAAAATTTAAAAAGAATTGATCAAGTAGTTTTTTTTTATAAAAATTCCCAAAAATCACCATTTTTTAGGCCGTCACACCTTAACAACGTTGCTGGGAAAGAGAGAGAGAGAGAGTCGAAGTGCAAAGCCGACGTCACACTGCGTGAGCAGACCTCATAGCCTATTCCATGAGATTTCCCGTTATAATTCTAATTTTTTCTGCTTTTTTCTGAGTAAAACTGAATTCGTAAATTCGCCAAACGCAAAATGTGCAATAATAATAAGCTCATTCAGTTTTCAGTATTTAGAAAAACCTATGTTTTTGAATTTAGTTAATTAAATTTTTCGTTTTAATTAAAAAACTAATTTGATTTATTTTAAAAACCTATTACAAACACAGCAACCATAAATTAAACCAAAACAATTTTTTTGCTCCTTTTGCTTAGTGCATCTTCCGTGTATAACGACAAAAAACCGCCGGTCCCTTGAAAGTCGCTATAACCGGATTCTACTGTTTATAGTATTAATAGAAATTAATTGATAACGTTTTTCATCACACGATGATGATTTTTTGAGTATCAAGTTTTTTAACTAGCCTTGATTTATAAAAAAAATTTCATAAAAATCGGACAACGATATTATATAGCTGCCATAGGAAAGATCGAAGAATCTATATAGAATTAACGGAAATAAAATGATAACATCGTTATTTCTCATCAGAAAATCATGATTTTTGGAATATGGAGTTTTCTAACGACTATTGTATTATTATTATTAGGTGGCACTACAACCCGATTCGGGTTTTGGCCGACCTCAGCGTCTCCCTCCAGGCGCCTCTGCTCCTCGCGCGCCTCCTCCAATCGGAAATTCCCAGTGCAGTCAGGTTCTCCTCCACTTGGTCCTTCCATCGGAGCTTTGGTCGTCCCCTTCGTCGTTGCACGTAGTCGACCCTCGCTTCAAACACCTTCTGAGCTGGAGATTCTTTATCCATACACACAACGTGGCCGAGCCAGCGCAGACGTTGTATCGTGATGCGCCGGACCACGTCCACGTCGTCGTACAACTCGTACAGCTCGTGGTTCATCCGAATGCGAAAGTCGTCCCCAATCCGAACGGGACCAAAGATCTTGCGGAGAATTTTTCTCTCGAACACTCCAAGCGCTTCTGCATCCGTCAGTGATATAACCCATGCTTCTGCGCCATATAAAAGCACGGGTAGGATGAGTGTCTTGTAGAGTGTTAGTTTTGTTCGGCGAGAGAGGTCTCTATTGCACATTTGCTTACTCAAACCAAAGTAGCACCTATTGGCAAGTGTGATTCTTCGCTTGATCTCCAGGCTGACGTCATTTTCG